CTCGCGCATGGTCATGCAAAATGGCCCCTTTTTGTCCATACCCCAGTCAATAGTTAGCTATAACTAAAAAAATATTATTAGTTATATATTCAAATTATTTGTAATTACTTATTAGCAGCTGTTGATTGCTAAAAGAAAATGTTTGTAAACAAGGATCCTTCTACATGAATACTGCAGTATAAAGGTAAGCAGACTAAACTAGTAAAAAAATATGAATTATAATTATAGTCATTGAAAAGTGAATATAATAACATACCGTTCAACTGTCTCAGGAAATCCACATATGAAACAACAAATTCAGGTTCATTTATATATTTCTGTTTTAAAATGCAAAAAAGAAGAAATTGAGTTTAGATTGTTTCAACTATTTACTACAGCTGATGATCTGCTAAAATTATATTCCACACACCTCTAGATGCACATATTTACAAAGACTATTATTTGTCGCTGTGAGTAAGATACATGTAGTATGGTTCTATAATTGTTTTTTAACTTCCATAGAACACCAATATTGTTGTGGGAAAAAAATCTATTAACCTTAAGTCCTAAATCAAAGATTTTAAAGGCAACAGCTTTATCCTTCCCACAGTAGTATTCCATCAGAGCTGAGGCTACAAAAACCTTAAAAATAAACACAACTGATTCAGTATATACAGCATAGCCAGTGAAATAGGTGTAACTCTTGTCCCACCTACAGTGTATATTACAGATAATAATGCAAGTGCCTTACATGAAAGTTTGTCCTAGTATCCTCTCTAGCTCTCTTGAACACAGCTCTACTCTCTTTGACACCCTCAGCTCTCCTTGAGAATCTCATGTACTGTATATATGCCTGAAACAGTTGCAGTGAGATAAATTATACGTCAATTAACATATAACATATAAAGTTGTAATGAATAAAACCTGACAATTATGAAAAGTTACTTGATCATTAAATGTTGCCTGTAAGCTTTACAGCCACATTAGAACGCCAAACACTAGAAAAGGTCTACATTTTACATCAGAAACCACTGAATTGTGAGTTTAAGATTAAAAGAGATTTTTGTGTGACTAGGAGGACATATTAAATTATGAAGAGCTCCACCCCTAAGATCACAGTTTGGGGGAAAAAAATTGAAAACAAGGCTTCAAAAGGAAGAACCAATTTTCACATATCTTTAGGGCCAGTGCAGATAGTCCTCATCATCCAGATATTTGAGGTTTCTAAATTCAACACCAAGGTAATTTGTAAGATCACAAAACTCTAAAGACTGAGACCTTTAATTGCCTTTATATTTCTGAGAATGAGACTTATTGCAAATTAATAAAATGTAATGATGAAATTAAAGTAGAGAGAGGATATTTTGAGACTACTGTATAATATACAAAAACTGGAAATCCTGGATTAAACAAACTCGAGACGACTTGAAAGAATATTGCATCTTAGAGACAGATGAACACAGGAGTGCCACACACACCCACTTTGAGCTATAGAAAAAATACAACCAGTTTGTTGTAAAATATGCCAGAAGAAGTGTGACATTTATACATCAAAACAAAGCTTAGTAGAAAAAAAAAACCTGAGACCAAATTTGCATTCTGCCAACAAGATCTTTAATTAGAAGAATTGCTAAATCCAGAGAGGAAAGAAATTGTTTGGCAAAGAATGGAAATTTATCTTTAATACAAATGGAACCATGAATGTATTAAGGAAAGATAAAATGCTGATCCACATTGATTCTTAAACTTCAACACACAAACTTATTATAAAAAAAGAGTTTATGACAACATTTATAATATAACTCACCAGTGTGGGGTCAACTCCTTCAAGACCAATGAACTTTTCATAAATTTCTTTAGCCTTTGTAAATCTCATTCTTCCCTAAAATAGCAGCAAAGTCAGATTCCCTTGTCTCATCAAGGATAGCATCATACCTATTGAACTCCCTCCAGAACTCATTACAGAAATAATATAACACGTATTTGAAATCTAGAAGTGCATACTTTAGAATTACCGGATACTGAAATTGGTGTGAACAGGTGTACAATATACTAGGTACTCATCTATATATTATGGTCTATGAACAGTACATTATTATCAAACAGAAAGTCTCTAAAGCTAAAATATTATGCAACTGATCATACACAAAAATTGTAATCTAAGAGATCGAACAGTCACAACTTTTAATATATTTAATACATTGAGGAGCTCAGAGAATGGTTTTTATCTTTTTTTGGCRTATTGACAAGAAGATGATGATCATGGGAACAAATGAGCATTTTTCAACACAAGAAGTTGAAATTTACATCTCCAAGCAACCAGGTAATATATTGAGGAATATATACTAGGTGTGTGGAGATACTGATTTTATCTTCTCCTGTTGAAAATATTTCCCTCCTTCATGTCTCGAAGCGACCATGTCTGTTTATTCTGTTTATCATATAATAATTGTCTAATGTAAATTATGTTTTAAAATAATAATTTATTTGCCTCCAATAGAGATACCACAAAATGTGATATTATCACTAGTAAAAATAGTTCAATATGTGCTATAACAGGAATAAGTACCTCCTCAAAATCAGCATATGCCAAGTATATTAACAGATTTAGTCCCATCAGACCATTTATTGCTCTTTCATACAGATTTGATGCTTCATCACTTAGTAGTTTGGATGCTTGCATATCCTATCAATAAAATAATTATTATATGTCTTGATTGGATTGATCATGATTGTAAACTAGTTGTCATAGTATTGCATAATATACAGTTTTAACATTGTTCAAGAAAGACTGACTTAATTAAGTGACAAAATAAACAACTCTTCTTATAGAAACAGAAGTTGATGTTATCTGAGACTGCAGGCACTCCATTGAATTCTGATTTGTTCAGCTCTTTCTGGTGCTCCTGAAGTCCATCAACAGAACAACAAGGATTGATAAGTACTTACACCCTTCTCAGCTAATGTCTTGCTAGTTGTCTCCAGATATGAAGTTGCTTCGTACCAGATATCAGGGTTAAACCCCATACACTGTAAACATTGCTCATAAGCATACATGACACGCTTGGTTAACAACACTGTGTCATCCACCCACAGTGGATTACTACGCTCCCAGAAAATATACTTCTTCCAGATCTGAAGCTAAAAGTATATAATTTTTTATATACTACTTAAAATGCAGTTTTGACAAAATATTGTGCACTAAATGTAGAGATGTTGTAGGATCGCAAAATAAGCTTGCAGCATGGTATTTCACATACCAACCAAGAAGTAGGTTCTTTAACTCAAAGGAAAACTTTTATTTGTTGTCTTAACCTGTACTTACTATAAAATCAAACTAAAACTTGTACGTTTTTGCAGTTTCAATGGTGCTTTTACGGACAATACGACTATTAATTTAGTTATTTATTTGTAAGCCTTAAGTTATATCAAGTTTATTATCTTTGCATTTTTATCTACATAAGCTCATATTGAGTTTGCTTCTCATAAATAGTTGAACATGCTTATTAAAAAGTATGCCGAATAAAAATCTCGTTATATATATATTAATAAACAGATTATAGCATGGAAAGTGCTTTGTATGTGATTTTATTCACATGTTGTTTGCATCATAAACTGAATAAAAATATTTACCAGCTGGGAGGTCTGTAAAGGAAAACACTTGACAGATGGAATGAGTGCAGCGAGGTCTGTACATAAAAGACTGAGGACAGTGTTTCCTATACAGACCGACCTCTATCCGGTAAAACATTTTTTTAATTTGTATTTTATGCAACTTTGCTCACAGCCTAGCTGCAGKATACCCCGGACCGTGCGCTAGCCAATCACAGTGGAATAACGACTAGGATACTGGACCGAAAAAAAATAATGTGTGACATGAAATAAATCCTTAGTTTGAAATTAACACAAAGTGTGTAGATTTGAATGTTGTACCTGGGTGTCTATAATGACCAAAATAAGCTATAAATTATAGAAGTTTTAGATTTTAATATCATTCATGCTGTTAATATCAAGTTGTTGTTACTGGTATTATTGGGGGTAAGAGTAATTTGGTAAATTTGTCATCATACCTGTGTGATCTCCTCMGAGTTCCCCTGGTGAGGAGTTGATGGTGCTCCTCTCACTAAACCTCTTGTAGTAGCTTCATATTCCTATCATGGATTAATTCAAAATAATCAGATCAAGTAATATAATTATGCAATTTAGTATCTCAATGATCAAATCGGTTTTCATTGTTATTCATGGGGCTGTATATCTCATATTTAAATAAATTATTAATTCAAAAGACTAGAGTACAAACACTAAAACTGTGCAACATAAATACCACTAAATTATGATAATTCTATTGTTTTCTATTGTCAGTCTAATTAACACTATTTTGTAGTAAATAGTGGAAAGTATTGCACACATTTAATGTTTGTACTCTACCTGTATGTACTTAATAAAATTATTTCATCAATATAATAAGCCACAAACATCCAATCGGCCAATAACTCCAAGGATGAATATACCTTGGCCTTTTAACTCTTAGCCTGATTTTCAGACGGGGCCTGGGTCCTACGCTTCTCTCCGCCCCCAGGACCCAGGCCCCATCTGAAAATCAGGCTATTTAACTCTAGTCTCCTTCGCATCCTCCCCTTTTGTCGGGCTTCCTGTCCCTCCCAAAAGGAGGAACAGGAGAGACAGGAAGTCCGACAAAATGGGAGGATGCGAAGGAGACCATTTTAACTCTTACATATAATGAATAATTGGATAATTGGGTCAGGTTTAATTCCGGAATTATCGATGCTGGGTAAAAATTCATGGGGTAAAAATTCGGTGTAAGGCTAGTGGTTAGGATCTTACTCTGGAACGGCCCGGGGTATATCATTTTCAGCAATTTCACCCTGGAACAGGGTATAGTTTTCAGCGATTTCACTCTGGAACAGGGTCAGGGTTTTAAGGTCCCAGTGCCACACCCCCACCCAATTAAGTTGGGGGGAGTAATAAATACAATATAGTTAGATTCTGATTTGTTTGTTATCATATAGTTTACCTTGCCCATTCTTCTTGCATTCATATATTCTCTAGTTTTGTCATCAATAAGCTTTTTAGCAAGTGTCTTGTTCACACCCTAAATCACATCAGATTTTAGTGCAATTACTGTAACATCTACTTTCACTTATTGTTATTTATTGTGTAAGTGTTCACTTAAAGTGAAATAACAGTGTGCTCTCTGAAGAGTAAACATTATTGAATTCTAATATGACTAACCTGTTCAAATGTGTTATACTCTCTCCATATTGCCTCAACATTAATTATGGGTGTAGTCACTGCCCTGTGAAAGACCCTTCTTATCGTCATAATCTTTTGGTTCTCTGCATATGATCCTACAGCCTCCCTGTAAAAATATGAATAACAATATTATATATAACTACATCGTAATAGTACTGTCGGAGTGATTTCAAAATGTTCATAAACAGTAAAGGCAACTAATATCCACTTACCCAGCCTTTAGAAAACTTATATAATCCATCCACACCTAAACACAGCAATGATATTATATTTATGTAAAAAGATCTTGAAACTCGACTAAAAAGAAATTATAATAATTATTAATTGTATTTGTACACACCTGATAGGAATGAAAGTCTAAGCCAATCTTGTCTAATGCAAACTCATAAGCCTGAGACATTTTTTCCCTGCAAGACAACATATAGCACTTTCAAAAAAATCTTTAATGATTGCAGCTCAGACATCATCATTTTAGTTATCATGTAATATTGACAATGATTTCAGCATTTGTCATGATGATAATTAAATGATGTATAATGTAATGTGGGTGATGGTGCACATACAGTCAACTCTCGCCTTACAGACACTCCGCTACAATGGACACCTTGATATTGCAGACAGTAAAAAAACACAAAATGCTGGGTAAGAAAGAATGCAGTGGGACACTTATTAATGGGTTGTCACAAGGGGGTTGTGTTAGTGCATGGGCTGTCATTAGGGTAGGGTTAGGGTAARATATTGTGTGTCATCAGAATTGTGTTAGTTTAAGTATTGGGTGTTATAATGATAGGGTTAGCTTAGACAGGTGATCTCAGAAGAACATAGCATTCACTCTAAAATACCTGAAATTTGGAAGAGAACTTTTTGTTTCTTTGACATAAGTAAGATATAACTTCCACAAGTCTATATTTAAAACTTTGATGAGGCACCTCTGGAATAGCTGTCAACAGAAATTGACCATCACTTTTCAGTTCAAACATCATTTTAGCATCCTACTGCCATATATAATCAGGGACAGCAAACCAACACACTAATAATCATACAATACACCAAGTACTCTAATTGCATGTTCATTTTTTTTGTGTCTATTGGACTATCATGATAATTTAATAGTCAAATTTTGTTGATGACTTCAATGTAGGTTGAAAAGCAGGAAAAGGTTGAATGGATAACAGTTTTGTTTAATTGTAATTATTGTTGTCAAAGCCGACAGCTATTTGAGACACCTGAAGAGCTGATCCTAATAAATTTGTATGAATTTAATTACCTTTTCTACTTTTTCATAATTTTGATGTTTCATCTAAAGGGAAAAGGAATTATTGCTAGTTAGATTGTTGTGATAGCTAAAAGTTAAATAAGTTTTAAATATTATTTCTAAGCTGATTTATATGTAACTGATTCTTTAAAATTGTCAGAGTGTGATATGCAGTCCACAATTTAGAAAAAGATCATCGAAAGGATCACAAGTTGCTTCACCAATGAAACAGTAAAAAATATGTGTCATCGCTACGCATCACATCATTGAGGGATTCCAATACTCTGACAAATTTGTGCATATTAAATTTGTCAGAGTATTCGAGCAAGTACACAGAGATGATATAAATATATATTGCAGGCACTAGTGGGCATTGCCAATTAACACTGCATTAATAACCTGTCAATCAATTAACAATATTAGCATATCTAACTTGTTTTACATCCACTTTTGCTGATAAAACAGTTTTAACAGTAAGTTAAAATACTGCTAAGTTCCCACCATTTTAACAGTAAGTTGCCGAGTACACATAATTTTGACCAACTGTTTATTGGCTAAAATCAGGTATGCATCCCCATTCTACTTAAAATTCCAGAAAAGATTTATTAGAGCCATTTTCTAATGACTGTGCAAAGGTGCACAGATCACGGCATGGTCATGGCACAGCACCTTGCCTGGTATCAATGCCAAATTAAAATATAAGTGCTTCAAGAATACATAACCACTACGGCACGATCAAGACATGAAAGTGCCATGCTTTTTTGCACAGTAATTTATGAAATTTGCTCTAYCAATTGCAATTCCAATAAAGAAATTTAAGGTGTCTGGATACAGCAACACATATTAATATATATAGCTCTGGCTTCCCAAAACACCAGCTATTTAACAATTAGACCTCGAGGTGGACTGAAYAATACAAGTTGAAAATCCACGAGGCTGTGTACTAGTAAATTTGTTTACTACCCACCAAACTATAATGGAAGTTTGAAATACACCATAAAATACATTTTTTTTCAACCATTTCTCTTCATTGAATGGGACATGGTCTATCAAAAATATACATTCAGAAGCCAATTAGGAAGTTTGGATTTTTTTAGGGTAATGTTTTTATGTGGCATTTTGGGTTGCCCAGGACATAATCATTTGACATCTGAAATATGCAAGTTCTTCATGTTGCCAAAAAAAATATAATTGAGATTATTAAAGAAGTCATTCATGACTTTCAGAAATGGCTTGATATGCCGCAAAGCACTAAAATGAGGTCTCAAAAGTGTCTTACAAGAGTGTTTTGATATAAATAACACACCAATACATCTTTCAAACTTTTGGACACCAACTACATGTGATCTTGGTAGTGATTTTGAGATGGAAGGCCTTTCAAGTCTCGCTTCCATGATTCGTCACAAGTCCGCCAATATTGGTGGTAGTGAACTTCAATCATTTTTGAAAGTCGTGTATAGCAAATATTGGAAGATGTAAATCTGGGATGGGGTGGGGTAGGATGGGGATTTATAAACCAAGTTAATAAGCCGTATAAAGCACAAGTGTTCACAGCCTCCGGAGTGCTGTTATTACTAATGTTCAAAGTTTTTATTAGAATTATCAAAATAATAGACAAGGTTTTGAAATAAAAACAATACCATAACAATATTAATTGATCTGACCATTGTACTTATAGTTACTGAATTCGCAAAAGGGAATCTTAAATTGTTTTATTCAAGGTACACTATCGAATTTCAACTACAACTGCAGACAAAAAGACTTAATCTGTTGATCAGTTCCTATGACTTAACTAAGTATACCTATAAGTGCTATAGGCAGGTATTTGAGTGGAGGAGTGGGTGAACAAAATTTGCAACTTAAATAGTCCATGATTATGAGGATGAGCAGAAATTCTAATGTGAGAAATAATAAAGCCCTAAAAAAATTAATCACTCAATCTCTCAATCATTAATTTTCATTTTTCAATTTAACCGAGGATAAATTACAATTTGTCGAACAAAATGAATATCATTTGGTGAAAAAACACTGGAGGTATTTAGTTAAGTTAAAAGGGTTACTTCCAGTAACATTAGGTTATTCTAGGTTAAGAGAAATTCTTTCAATTAAGCCCTTTCTAGGCATGTTGCTTTCCCTTCTTGTTCACTTGAACCTTAACACTGATTCTCCCTAAACCACTCTTGCTGATACCCTTCTTATATCATTTTGATTGTAGTATAGTAATGATATGTGATTTAAAGGTGTTTTTTTTATGGTAAATTCTCTATCCTTTTACAAATTAATATCTAATAAAAATAAGATCTGGATGCCAATTGAGGCCATACTAAAAAAGGATCTTTCTATACTCACTATTTTGTGCATGATTATATAAAGTGATTAAATTTTTCTGTGAAATAAAACATAATAGAGTGATCGCACTTAATCCGTGCAACTGTGCAATTAACTAAATAGTTCTAGTTAGTTGTATTTAATATGTAAATCGTGCATGCTGTACGCAAATTAAATTGAATTGATACAAATGAAGCATTCAATACCGTCTTGCTTCAGGTCTACTTTTAGTACAAATTAATACCACATAGATTTTGTACAGTTGCACGGATTAAGTGCGATCACTCTAATAATAATAATGAAAACTTTATTACTTTTTTTTTCACTTACAATTGTAAATCTCACTATAAAAGGTATAATAATAATAATAATAATAATAATAATAATAATAATATTTTTTTAATATAAAGTGATAGAGTACAAACATCAAATGTGTGCAACACTTTCCACTATTTACTACAGAAAAGTGTCAATTAAACAATAGAAAACAATAGAATTAGCATAATTTTTTTTTTTTTTTTGGTATTTATGTTGCACAGATTTTATTAGTGTTTGTACTCTAAATTACAATGAAAAATAATATTTTTTTCCGACAAACAACCACGTCAGCTACAAATTCAGTCAGCTGAAGTGAGGACTATGGACAAACAGGTAAATTATACAGGTAGGGAATAATCACAAGTAATAAGTTCTTGTTGGTGTAATTATAAAGAATTGTGCATTCATTATCCTCAAAAACTACTGGATCTTTATATGGCTGCTAGAAAACATGGAAACATGAAACAGTTTGCTGGAGTGAACGCACTTCATCCAAGAAAATTTAATTAACATCTTTCATGTACTATTTTGTGCAAAACCTTTTGTGCAAATTAGAAAATGGTTTTCTGATAAAGAACAAGAGTGCATGCCACAAAAGCATGAAATATTACTTTAATAATCAACTAATAAGCTTTAGTTATCATTAACCAAGTAAGAATTCACTCAGAGCATGAACACAATGCCAGAAAAGGAAATTTTTATTTGTTTATGCCTTACTGAATTCTTAATTAGTTGATAACTAAATCTTATCAGGCGCTAATAAGTTAAGAATTGCTTCACACGTATTTTTTGTGGCGTGCACTCTATGGCAATTCAAAGAAAGTTCTCCTTCAGTGGGAGATAGTTGTAACACTTTTCCATGCCTACTTAGACAGTTTTCCTATGCTGTTTTCTTTTCTTGCAAAAATAGAAATAGTGCTGCATCTTCAAAGAAAACATAAAAAAGACCAAGCTTTTACTAGGAAGATTTTTGGGGGTTATAAAAAGTGCGAGCTCTGCTATTTTCAGCTTGTTTTGTTGTACAAAATGTTATCACATCATGCACATTGCTATAATTGATATAGTGATCTCACTTAACTATACAAATCTAAGTAGTACTAATTTGTACTAAAAAAGCGGGACCTGAAGCAAGACGSTATTGAAKGATTCGATTGCATCAATGCAATTTAATTTGTGTATCACATGTGGAGTCAGGGACCTTTGTCGAGTATTCAGATTCTATTTYATGAAGGTAAGCAGACTTTCTTATTCAGACAACAATAGCAAATTAATAAACTTTTACACATGAGGAGATCCAGGAGACTGAATGAATACTTCCAACTATAACATGCATGTGTAATTTCCCTTTTGTGTCATAATTAATTCATATCCAATTTAAATTCCTGTGTTAHTGGGACAATCCCCTGACAGACAATTAGACAGTAGCTTGACTAATCCATCTTAAAATAATAAACTTATTGAATAAAGAATTTCTTCAATAAAACTTGCTGATGTCTGAAAGGTTTGTCTTAGGTGTGCATGGCATCTCCCTTGATTAAGGTGGATCATCACTTGCAAAATCCCGAATTGTTTCCTTTGTCAAATCACAACTACTCAACATAATTACCAAGAAGCTACGCAATAAGCCATTTAAAACATTAGGTGCACAGACTTCATTTGCATAATATACAATACACACAATGCAATGTATAATATGTTTGGGACAGAACATGTGGCAGATTTTTTTTGTTTTCTCTAGAAAGTGTTCTCACAATTAATCAAATAGTGACATAAGATATCCAGAAGTCTATTAGGGTTAGATGGATAGACATTATGGTTATTAAGAATATAACACCTCAAAGTATTTTGACTGAGTYACATGCCAATACCATGTTGCACAATTGAGTTTTTCAAAACTTAAACAATGCCAAACAATATTAACAATCTGAACTGTCATGGTACATACTGAATTACYGAGTGTTTCCAATTCTATTTGGGGTTAGCTCATGAATCTCAACTAAACCATACAAAAACGTCTTGTTGGTCAATTCCTATTGGTTAGCTTAATAGTGGTAATAAGACAAGTATCTGATTGCAGAAAGGAGTGGGTTAGAATCCTAGGCTATTTATAAAATGGCTTTTTCAYCAAAATTTGCAACTAAGCGCACAATTTCAGGGCAGTCAGAATAAGATTTCTAAGTACAATTCTTACAAAGTAAAATTACTGAGGGAAGTCCAGCACACATTGTGCTTGATTTATAGCACAACAATAGGACCACTTACCTTATTTGAATGTCCAATGACAATAAGTACACACTATGAAGTATCAAAATATCTACCAATCCAAGACTAAACTACATCATGTAAAATAACTTTCTAAACAATTCTTTTTGAGTGCTAACTCAAAATACCATAAATCCTCAGCTGTTACGCAAATGCCTCATAAATTAGAAGACAAACTGTAAGTATAGTCTGTGGTACAASTGGGATATTTGGATATACAAACACAGCAATATGTAATAGAAGGCTCTCATGYACATATGTACACAGAGAAACTACATATCATCATATATTTATTTGAACTGGATTTAAATCTACATGATATGTACATGAGCACCTTGTACATGTAGAGCCATATATAAAAGTTGTACATCAGATCCTTCTCCAAAATGTCCTTCATATATATTCCTGGAATTCAGGAACCAATGCTTTCAGTATGAAATTTGCACTCTAAAAACTAAAGGCATGCAACACTGGATAACAACAATTGAAACAATGCATGGCTGTACATTTTCTAAGGGCATGTAATCAAGACCTTCATTCTATAATGCAAAAAAATCACATTTTAACTTTAAAAGTTGCTAGATAATTGAGATCCCAGTAATCAYTTATGACCTAGACACTTGTGACACACGCTCACTTGTCTAAAGCAAAACTCCACCATCTAATGCAATATTATTACCTGTTTGAAATTTACATAGTTTTCAAACCATCAAATTCATAAAAATTGCTATTTCAAGTCTATAAAACAGCTKGGAAAGTTGTACGTAGTACCCTTGGAATTATTTAGAGAACAATTCAGTATGTGACACAATATTTATCASAAAACTGGAATGTTTGATGACCCAAAAACCATTACCATTCACTAGCTACAAAATGTATTTGACAGTTTAGTGCTGCAAACTTTTAGTTTCAAAATACACATACTGATAGTACTGTAATTCTGCCTAACTGAACTATCTTTGGAAAAAGTAATAGATTTTTTGAACAAATATCATGTCCTTACTACTCAAAAAAGAGAATACAGAATAAATAATTTCATGTTTCATTTTAGTCAATACGCTAACCAGCATGTAGTCTATAATGAGGGATTATGGTCCAGGCACATATAATAAGAACATTTGGAGTAAAAAATATAAGTACTGTAACAATCTATTCATCTTTAATGGGCTGCCATCCAAAACAAGTAATTACAGTTTTTACTCCATTTATTCTATTCTAAGTGAATAGGTTGGGGGTGGACTGCAACCCACTATAATCAATACAATGTCATATATGGTAATAAACATGACAAAACGCAAGTAACCACACATCACGCAATTGAAATACAACACAAGCTCAGATTTTAAAAGTTTCATTTTGGTTTTGTACAAATTTACCCATCCCAGTTGAACACTGCAACTACATAAGGAGACTTTATTGTAGTGTGTTCAACTATTATTATATATGTTAAGACACCATTGTGCAATAAAGATAAAACAAAAATAAATAAAAATTGATTAAATTGCGCAAGCAGGTCACATAACCCTACAATCTCATCAAATCAAACTGCATTGCTATAATAACTCTGATGATGAACAGGAAAACTCAATACATGTACAATAACAGGATAAGATATGGTACAAATGAGTAGCAGAGAGAGAGAGAGAATGAGGCAAAGAACAGKAGGGAAAAGAGTTAAGAAGAAAAGTATGTCAAGAAAAGGCACTTAATGTATTGTGATTTGCCTTTAAACTGTTAGAATTCATTCTAACAATGCAGTTTAATCTAATGAAAGAGGAAAATGCGTCCTGTTCAAATTGCTACCTGCCGCCTCAAAAAAAAAAACAAAAACAAAAAAAAACACATGCACCCGTAAATGAGCCAACTATAGGGACTAGAGGTGCATTTAGCACTCATTCATAGTAAATACAATAAATAAGCTAATTTCTAAAAACCTCTTGCTCAATGTATAATCTCCAGTAACGTCCTGCACTAGGAAAACGCCTAACAAGCTTCTCATATAACACTTTGGACTTCTCAAGGGTCATACCCTGAAACAGATAAGAAAAGATAATAGTCAGAGTGTTAACAATACTTAATAGCATGTGCAAATAAAATAAAAAAAATAGTGCTGATGAGCTATCATTAACTGACACTTGTGTAGAGGAAGTTAGAATACTTAGTAAACTAGATGCTTGTAAAGTGTGAGGCGGGCTAGCTTTTTTGGAAAATTGAGAAGAAAGACTGGATATTATATGGTGCACGAATACACACCAAGAGCAAAAGATTTTCAATACAACAAGATAAAATGTGAAGCTTTTATATGAAAGTATATGGCGTAGAATACCTTAGTTTTGTTTACAGTTCAATTCTAATCGTGCACCGCAATATTCTTTTCTGGCAACTAATCGTTAACCTTCACTGTCTGCTACAATCTTATCATATATCAAATAAACCATAATCTTTTTGTCATGTAGTGAAACATTGGGCTCCAAGAATTGAAGCAAAACAAAGTTCAATTTCAAAACTTGTACTTTCTAATTTCTACTAATAAAAAAATCGATGGTTTACTCCACTTTAAAGCAATTTATACAGATACGAAGGTCAAACTATAGCGCTAGGYTAGCCACAGCTAGCCCGCTAATAAACCCCTTCTTGGCTCACTGGGATATCRGCTGATAATGTCCGAGATGAGAAATGGTCAGAAAAATGAGCATTTGCATTATATCCCAACAAATTCATTTTGATGTGTTTACGAAGAAAAGCCATTAAAGTGCAAGGTAAAATCTACACACGAAATTAAGAGACGCAGAACAAACTAGCAAGTGAAAATGTTTGTAAACAAACCTGCATTTAGTGGCTTAACATTTGAAAGTAATTTTCTTGCTGTAAAAATATGTTTACAGCGTACTTAGTCGATTTTTTTTTTGTATTCCCAGGTGTCCCTTCATCAACTAGTTTTTTAATCTCATCATCAGAGCTCTTTAAAAAGCAGTTTTGATCACTTTCCATAAAAAAAATTCTGAAAGCTTATGCGGAGAAATATTACCTTCAGACGGGAGATATCACCTGATTACCCGTCTGCTGAAAATGCACCACGTGACTGACGCCTTTGGACCAATGGGTGTATGTGAAAATATATTGTTGGGATAAAAAAAGAAGTGCCATAACCCTCCAGAAGCAGCTGAAAATGCTGAAAATTTGTACTCTGATTTTTGAAGTTTCAGACTTTTCTTTGAATTTTCACATTGTTTTAAATGAACACTTTCAATTGAGTGCCAGGCATGTCTTAAAATACAAATACCATGCTTTTGATTTAAAGTTATTTGTGACATGCAACTTATAATCAAAAGGAAACTAGAGCTATATTTATTCTATGAATACTTCATTCATATTTGAACATTTCTTATTGAGGTTTTTTGTAATACACATTTATRACAAATTGATYACTGGGTTTACTGGAGCATTGGATGATATGCGTTTCTCCCTCTTGYCGCCTGCTGACCGGCCGGGTACTGTTGATGTACTCGTGGGTATGGTCATGACACTATCTTGCAACGTTTGTACTTGGTTTTTCGTAATGTCTACACATTTGCCATGACATGAAAATTTCCACGGCCCACTTCGTTTTGTATTGTAGATTGTGGCGTAGCTTTTGACAATAACTCAGCATCTTCTTCTCGAGTTGTTGGATCTCGAAAGCTACACGCGGAGGTTGCCTCCGCCGTTTCAACTTATGAAATTGAACTGAATAAACAGAACTACTACAAATTCATTACAAATCTCTCTCCTTTGGGGTTTATATATAATAGCGATTGATGATGCCACTTTCATTCTATTCATACCCAAAATAGAACTGATGAATAAATCCAATTACGGTCTTTTTTGCCAGCTGAAGTCATTCATTATCAATTTGTTTGAGAAATCAGATCAAAAACTTGTGCTTCGTGTTTCATCAGGGGAATCCAAACATCTCGAAACGCTAAAAGCACTTGGCCTTCGGMCGCGTGCTTTCATCTGTTTCTCGGTGTTTGGATTCCCTGATGAAACACTCACACTCGTTTTTGATCTATTACGTGAACATCACTTTCATATTCAACAAGATGTAACATCAAGTAAGCTTATGTTGAGGAAAAATAAATGAAGTTTCTTGAAAGGTTTATAAGTTACCATGTGTAAGGTATAAAAGAGATTAAAAGGTCTTTTTAACCTTTTAAATAGAGATACATGTGCTTTCCTGAAGTGCAGTGATCATACTATGAAGTCGACCATGATCATTTTTACTGATGTTGCGCTCAAGCTACAGTAGTTCAAGTTTATTCATAATTATCACATTAAGGTTAACACGGTGGAAAATTATTGCTGTGACCGCATCTTATATGGAGCAAGAGTTTTGTCCTGATTTGCATATGACTTAACTTCAATTTTCTCTTAAAAATGATGYTTTATCTTGTTTTTAGCTTAAAGTGCACCTTCACGATTTTTTTTTAATCTTTAAAACGAAAATTGAGGTTAATGGAAACGTATCTGTGAAAGAATTTTTCATTTTTATAAAAAAGCGAATTTTTGGTGAGCTTACAAACATAGGAAAATGTCCACTTTGAGCTCTTTTTTGGGTTCAATACCGGGAAGGACTGGGACTGACTCTGACGTCATCCCAGGACAAGGCATTTGTTGTTATCGAAGCTTGACAGTGGATTTTATCACGAGTCAACTCCAAAAATCTTATTTAACATCGATTTGTATGCTCTTTCGCGAATGAAATGACCATCAAGTGCGTTGTTGGTGGCTGCAGTAACAGGCCAGATATTTTGAAGGGAATCGACCTTCAAGTTACGATGACCCGAAGCAAGAAAAAGACGGAAGAAGTGACTCAACTTTGTCAAAATCAAGCGTGCCAAATGCACAAGACGAATAAACCATACCGCTATATATTCATTGAGAAATGTCAAGAGCCTACCGTGAACTCAGTTTACTAGTAACAGTGCTGGAATTTCTTTTGGCCTCGGCACAAAATACGCAAAACAGCCATTAGTAATTTGAGGCAAAGTTCTCTGGCCCGGCAGTCTAAACTTCTCGTAGTCGAGACAATGAAATAAGTACGATAAGGCAAACACATGACTGAAAATATTCTTCCTTTCAAGCGCTTTTCTAATAAATTTCATGAAATGAAACGACTACGAATCCAGAMATGAACACTCTTTCGTTCTTGAAACATGTTAAGCGCTTTCCAGTGATCCAGAAGCAAAGCGTAGAGTTTTAGTTGTTTTCAGTTAAAAATTATGAGTGCCAGGCATCGTATTTCCCCGATTTTGAAACCGCCAATCAAGCTCAGCGCTTGACATTTCTCTGCAAAGGAAGAATATTTTCATGTCTGTAATCATGGTTGTTTTATATTTCATTTTCTCGAGAAATTTAGACTGCCGTGTACGTACATAGTACGTGAGGTAAAAATTTCGAAGTGCCTCAAATGACTATTTCGTATTCTGTGCCGAGGACAAGGAATTTGCTGAAATTCAAATCTACTGAGTTCACGGCAAGCGCTTGACAATTCTCAGTGAATATAAAACGGTTTGATACATTCAATCTTAGCGGTTTTATTGATTTTTGTGAGAAAAATAGACTTTTATAAGGCATTTAGTCTTTTGCGACCGAACTTATGGCCTGCTGGGATGATGTCACAAGAGTCGCGCCAGTCCCCGCTCGGACAAAAGAATTTGACACACTTAATTTTGGCTTTATTTTTCCGATTTCGTCCCAACCGTTWACAAAATAATCACCAAACTTTCACAGAAAGTCTTACAAGGTTMATAAAAATTGTTTTAGATTGTTTTAAATTGTTTTGGCTTATGTTGGAATTTGCTTATCAAAAAAAAATATTCCAAAGGTCTTTTGCTGACCTTTATGGACTTGCTCACATTCATCTTCAGCTTTAAATGTCACTAAAGGTCTCCTGCTCATATTTTATTATGACATATGACGGTTCTATATGACATTCATTGASTGTCACTTAAAAGTGATGTATGTTAACAGAGTAGATCAATATACCTTTTCATATCTATATTTATTGCTATTTTTTTCTGTGCAAAATGACAACATTGTACTTATTGATATTAAGAATTGTGAAAACGATCCAAAACTTGGGGGAAATGACTTGTACAAACAGTGTTTTTATTATGAGTTTTAAAGAATAATAGTTTCATTTYTTTATTAAGACAGTAATAAAGCTCAAGACTTTTAAAACACGTCATGTATTTGCAAATTGGCTATGATTTTATTAAATAATGTGGACATACTTTTACACATTGTGCTATGATTTAGCAACAATCACAGTTTTTCATTAAATACCTGTGCCTCTCTAATGAGAACACCCCATGACTCCAAGTCATAAGGGTGATTGACAAGTCTTTGCTCTGCTTTCTGACCACGTTCTGTCTCACTCCAAAAGGACATTGGTTCCTGGAAAACATAGCAGTAATTACAAYAAGAATACTATAATCAATTCTGTTCGACTACATGTAGTAACTAATAGAGCAAAATATAATAATACAGCAGTTTGTCAAATTCAATTGATTATAATATCATCATCCATCTAGACACAAAAGATAAGTAACAACAACACTCTTACTACCACGAGAAAGAGATACCATCAACCRATAAAAAGAGAAAGACTGGGCTCGAAAAAGGAAAAAAACAGGTTTAGCAAATAACAACTACCCAGCTTCTTTTGTAAAAAAAAAAAAATGACATTCCTGTTGGAAGAGACAAAATCAATCACAACTWCAGAACAGTTGTTCTACCATAGGTTAGTCGAGTCTTGGAGAAGATAAGAAGAGCCCTTAAGACTCTCAACATCAAATTTGCTCAAAAGACTATTTAGGATAGGAATTCTACTCCTCACATTCTCAAAGCAAAAATGTGTGAAAATATATGAAGAGTTTCCTTTTTACATGAAGTGAGCGCTTTTGGCAACATGCAAACCCAACTTGAAAATAGYCTGCGTAGCCAGGCATTCCTAGCTGCTGGAGGCAAGAGACTTCTGGCTGTTGGGTCAGAGAAACTCAAAGGGAACATGGGAAATGGAATAGTAATAGCTGTTTTAGAAGGTCAAAAGTTATATTTAATCCTGTTATGTCAACAGATAGTTGYCAAGGTTTTCATCTAGTTGATTAATTTAAAGAGCAGATCAATTGTGGGACCATATACGAAAACGGTGTAAGCGACTTTTAAGGGTATTTTGGAATTTTCTCGAAATCGAAGAAATTGTCTACAACTTGACTCCTTTTCAGTCTCGATAGTCTGAATATTTATGTCTGTTACTTATTTCTTGTGATTTCTTTAAAAAAAAGACCCATAGTTACAATGGCTTTGGCTTAACAACTGCTCACTAGACCATAAAATCTTCTAGATTTGCATATTCCAGGTAAACTCTTGTCTTTTTGAAACTGTGGCTACGTTCACATGGGGCCGGTTCCGTTCGGAACCGTTCTAGTTTAGGTGCGCGTTCACTGACTGGAACTCTTTTTCATGTTTTTTTATAGCCTCTTTATCTTTAGTCTATACCCTATGGACATGGTATAGAAGGAGATACTTGCAAAAAGAATCCATCTTGGCACTTTTTAAGTGTTTTGTTTTCCACGGTTCATTTGATTAACTTTGACCTTTGCTTAGAGAGAATCACTTGAAAAAAACTTCTAAAGGCAAATCCTTGGAGCTGCCACAGAAATGTTTGGATGTTTTGGCTATTAAGAAACACAAGCAACTTGAAATTTTGGCAGAATTCTGAGAAAACTCTAGACTTATATTAATTTTCTGTTTAAAAAAGGATGCGAACGTTGCTGTCGACCCATATACATGTAGTTCTCTCCAAGAATTCATTGCTACAAAGATACAGTACCGGTCTCGAGTAAAGTACCATCCACTCGCTCTATACTCGAGAGTGCGATTATCGAGTGACCATCGTTACTCGCGAGTCATGCATAACAAATTATTCATAAAAGCGAGTGTAATCGAGTGGCTTCAACTCGAAAGACTTTCGAGTGTCGAGTGTAGTTTTACAAACAATTTCTGTTGAAGTGAACGATTAATGAAAAGTCAAAATTTAAATTCTAATCGGTGGCTTTTATATTAGCGAATGATCGGCAAGATCGTACGTCGGCAAGATGTCAATTCAATGTTATATAAATTTAGGTTACACGACAATGTCACGCCGTCTTGTCATACTGTCTCGTCATTCCGCTGTCTAGGCAGTGTTAAAGCACTTTGGGAAGCTTATTTGTTCTGTTTTCTTCCATAATTCAGTATTTTTTGCCATTATCAAAGCATATTTTATCAATTTCTGCAATATAACGTTATGTTCTTCAAACTCCGTAACAACCTGTGATTAACTTTTCTAAAATGAAAGCATGAGAAACCGCTTTTATCTCTTATCATGATCGTAGCTGATTGAAATATTTAGTTGTTTTGGCGACTAGCCAAAAGAGAACAAATTTGTTCGAACACTTATCCTGACAAAATTCTGATTAAACCTACTTCAGCTTTATGAAGGATAGTATAAACCTCAGTAGCTTAAAGAATCTTGTAAAAACAGTACGATTTGTTGTTTTAATTTTTGATAGAATAATTTAAAGTAGATGAAACAGGTTCAAAAAGCCGTGTTGACCTGAGCGGCATGGGAAATGCGAGATTAGTCTCAAAACACGCTTGGGAATATCTTCGTGTAGATTCACAGTTTCCTGGTGTTTAGTATGGTTTCTTATTCGTTCACTTTCGCTGTAACAGGTAATCATTAAAGGCCAGTTCATTTTTGCTTACAAGTGAAGCATATTAATAACCAAAGCAAAATTGTCATAGCCGCAATCAAACTATTTTGTAAACTTTCGTGTGAATTTGATTCCGTAATTTAAGTTCGAAGCRCTYSACTCRAAACAYTCTAGAGTCTCGAGTAAAGAGTGAAAGCGAGTGGCATTGTTTTCGCTGCCTCATTAACTGTCATTGTTTCACTCTATACTCGAGACTCGCKGTCCGTATCGAGTTCGAGTACTCGAGAATGGATGGTACTCGAGACCGGTACTGTAATGTTAGAACACATGTTTTGAAGCTGTGGCCAAAGAGAAAGCCAATAGCAGGAGATGTTTATGGAAAATTACAAAATAAAATGTGAAATGACAGAAGTAGGACTGTACAAACAGTTTTCTTTCGCTTGTTAAAACAAGAACTTTGCAGGAAAAAATGAATATGAATAAGGAATTAGCTTTAAAACTGCATGTTTTTTCTTTCATTTTTATGACTTAAAACAACGGCAAATGACTTTTGGCCAATCAGGAACACCCTTAAAACAAAAAATCGTCATCAGGTAGGAAATCATATGTGGGGGGTCCTGGAACACAATATCATTCACTGATGCGCAGGAAGTTAATTTTGAAAATTAGTAGGATGTATGCAGGCTAGGGGTAGGTGTACCTTTCTGTGTTTCTCCCACCCAAACTCTCTTAGAACCCCTGCCTATGCAGGCTAACTTGAAAACAATGTGCTCCATACTTGTTATTTTCAACCAATCAGGGAATAATGCAATCCCYTCATCTCCCCTCATGCATTTACTACGAAATTATTTAAATCTTATGTTCTCATACTCATTAATTATTCATGAGGTATCCAGCCAATCCCTGATCATAATTTGTACCATGTGAAGTAACTTGAAACCAGAGGAAGTACTTGTATCTTGTATTCTACCTTATTTCCAGTTACTTYTACCTTTTTCAAGTTACTTCTACATTATTTCCAGCTATTTCTACCTTGTTTCCAGTTACTTCTACCATGTTTCGAACTACTAGCTAATGATAATCAAAGTATTAGAAATAATCAGTTGAACATAAATTTAGTGAAAAAAGGTCTTAGATAAATGACTCCCTCACGACTCGATCCCCTACCGTCCAGTCTATATGCGCCGTCTTATACCATTACATCACCGAGTTTCTGATGCGATTTCTTGGAAGATAACATACTTATAAATCTTATGGATTAGGCTCATTAGGAATGCCATGAATAGCAGACAAAGACAATTTGAATAGCTTTTGTTTCAGAAAGCCGTCCGGGAACTGAAGAACAACAAACGGTGCTTCATGTATTCAAACTTATGAAAACTGAAAACCTTAGGTAGTGGAGATGAATAAATAAATATATTTCTGTTATATGTGCTTCCTTCGCTTTTTCCCCTCCCGAATAATTAATAAGTATGAGAAGTCGTTTAAAGTCCTCCAATTTGGACTGCACTGGATTTCAAGTCCGCGCAATTAGTTCCAGTCCGAACATCAAAATTCTAATGCTCATAGGACAACTGTTATTTCAAGCTACATGACTGGCTCATTTCAGGTAACAAACGAAGGAGCTGGTATTTCCATTATCAAAAATTCAAATATCATTGGTAACTTTTCTTGTATGTATCATACACAAATTCTCTTAAGCGTGTTTGTATTCTTTGCATCGAACTTTGGCGCAAAAACGTACGCAAATGATGGTAGAAATCGGTCTTAAGTAAACGATCAACGACGTCCGTCAATCATTTGACTTCATAGATCAGAAGACCAAAACACACTTATCACACTTGGTTTTAAGGAAAGAACAGAGAAACTCAACTCAATCACACACACAGTGTGTTATTAAACTTAAGTAACTTACGTCATGAAGCTACGACTT